ATAATGCCTGGTACCCAGAATGCTCTCAATAAATACTGGCTGAACGCATTAAGTTGGGCTGCCTCAAAAGAATATTTAGACTAAGAACTGGCAAACTCCATTTTCTCCAAGCAAAGTGTTTGTACATTTAGGCAAGAGACTTTGTATCTGAACAGGCCTTAGTAGTAAATAAAGTGATAGAAATGTGTGAGGTTGTTGATTTGCTTGAGAAGGCTGTTCATTCTCCAGCTGTATTTACACTCTGTTTCAATGAATGAATACTGCTTAAGTTGTGCCAACCTAAATGTTTATTTCTTTGAAAACACCACTTCCCAAAACATAAGCACCTGTTTTATGGTCTGTTTGAGAAAAGCCAATCCACATGATTCATTGAATACTTCTACTGATCCGCTCACAACCTGGAACTTTGGAATTGAATCAATTCATTGGCCTCTGAGGGGTTACCTCCCATTTTGACATTACTTTCCAGTTATATTTTGTCTCAATTTGGGAAGTGAAGACAGCAGAGAAGTTAAAGGGTTTGATAAATGTTTGTATTATAAGCTTATGTTCTTTAAAATGGTTCTTTAAAAAAATTGCCTTTATTTTTTTTATTTTCAGCAACGGACAAGTGACTCTTTTTCCCTACAAAAACAGTGCTTTGATAGACTCATCAGCAATCTTGACTTGCCAGGACATTTAAGTGACTTTGAAGTCACTTGTAAGCAATTCTAGTATTCCATTTTTGGGGTAATTAAAAAAACTTTTTTTAATTCAGTAGGGTAGCTCGAAAAAAGAAAAGACTGTTACAACCACTGCACTGGAGTATGTAAGCATTTTGATTTCCAAATGCATAATAACTTTTAAGAGAAAACAATTAATTATTTAGTAGGAAGTATCCATAAAAACATACATTATAAATGCTCTCATTCTTACATGACCCAGATTATGCATGGTGGACCTCAATTTTCTTCTAAGAGGTTTTAGGAAGGCAAAGTTGGTCATGCACTGACCTGCAGTGTGGCTTGCTGGGTCAGTGATTGCAGAGATAAAGTAACACCTTGTCCAGACAGTGGGACATGGAGCATGTGGAGCATGGCCAAGGGTCCTTCCCAGTTATAATATTTAGTTCTTCCAGAATGAAAAAAAAGTCATTGTTAAAAAACTAAGAATAAACCACTTACGCCACAGAAATGATTTCTGTAGTATGGAGAAAATTTAAGAAAGAAAGTAATATTCTTTGGTGATACTTTAATGGATGTAAGTAAAGGCATTTAAAGCGCTTACAATGAGAAAACAAGAAGTCTTGGAAAACAGAGAAGTGAAGGCAAAGAAAAAATTCTGCAGTTTGGAGGACATTTTCCTTTGTTGTAAATGAATTTTGTGGACTAACAGGCACAATGAGAAGTAATATTCATGATAAATCTTCTAGATTTTAAATCTCATAGTATATATAGCAAACCCTACAATTTCTAAAGTTTTCACCTTTTAAAATTCAACAGTAAAAACAGAAGAAGCTTAAAATAGAATTTCCAAGAGTCAAGGGTACCCTCTCAAGGGGTGGTAAGTTCCATTCTGGGTCAATGGTGGCAGGCTGCTCATATAGATTAAGCAGAGTCAGGATGAAATCCTTTATTCAGAATGTGCATTCCCAGTGTATTGTTTATTATTTTAGCTTACTCATCACACTTCCCCATTAAGAGGGCCATCGCAGCAACCAATATTCAACACAGCTAATAATGTAAGGCCTATGTTTATTGATCACCACTCCTAGAAGATAAGAATATCTTACCTGTAGCAAAGGCATCAGCTGCAAACCTAGTGCTTGCTCATAGAGCAAGTTCAGTTCTGCACAACTAGAGAAGGAGAGTTTGGAGGTGTAGAGGTAATAGTGCACATGCCTAAATGTGGAACCATCTCTGTCAATGAATAGCCTCTGGCTTTCCAAAGAGGTCAAAGTTGAAGCCTCTTTCCACAATAGGGAGTCTGGGAACTGAGCGAGTTTGCTTCTGGGAACTGAGAAATGCCAGCCCCCAACGTTGAAATGAAACAAATCCTCTGCTGAATCATGAGGCATGCCAGGCTCCTCCTAGAGGGGAATAAAAAGAGAGCTATGCAAGAAGTAGAAATAAAAAGCATCCACATTGGAAAGGGAGAAGTAAAACTATTTCAATTTGCAGATTACATGATTGTTCATATAGAAAAGCCTAAGGAATTCACTAAGAAATTGTTAGAATGAGTTCAACGAGGTTGATCAATATAAAAAAATCAACTGTATTTTCATATACTAGCAATGAACAATCCAAAAGTGAAATTAAGAAAACAATTCCATTTGCAAAAGTATGTAAAAGAACAAAATAGGAATAACTTTAACAAAAGAAGTATAATACTTGTACTCTGAAAACTTCAAAACATTGTTGAGAGAAATTTAAAAAGATCCAAATAAATGTAAAAAAAATCCCATGTTTATGGATTGGAAAACTTAATATTGTTAAGATGGCAATCCACAGATTGAATACAATGCCTAAGAAAATTCCATTTGTCTTTTTTAAAAAAAAAAAAAAACAACAACTGACAAGCTGATATTAAAATTTATAGGGAAATACAAGGGACCCAGATTAGTCAAAACAATCTTGAAAAGGAGAACAAAATTTGAGGATTCACACTTTCCACTTTCAAAACTTACTACAAAGCTACAGTAATCAAATGGTGTGTTACTGGTACACGAATAGACATGAATAAGTGGAATAGAATTGAGAGTTCAAAAATAAACCCTTACATTTATGGTTAATTGAATATTGACAAGGGAGCCAAGACAATTCAACGAACAGCCTTTTCAAAAAAATGGTGCTGGTACAACTGGACATTCACATGCCAAAAAGGAATTTTGGACCCCTACCTCACACCATACACAAAAGTTAACACCAAATAGATCATAACCTTAAATATAAGAGCTAAAAAGATAAAACCCTAAGAAGAAAAATTTCTTCATGACCTTGGATTATGCAATGCTTTTTAGATAAGATATCAAAAGCAGAAGTGAAACAAATTAAACTTCATCAAAATTAAAAACTTTCTGCCCTGGCTGGTGTGGCTCAGTTGGTTGGAGCATTGTCCCATAACCAAAGGGTTGCGGGCTTGATTCCTGGTCAGGGCACATGCCTAGGTTGTAGGTTCGATCCCTGGTCCAGGTGCGTACAGTTCCCAGTCTGAGTGGATAAGGGAGACAACCAATTGCTGTTTCATTCACATCGATGTTTCTCTCTCCCCTCCTCTTTCTCTAAAAGCAATGAAAAAATGTCTTCAGGTGATGATAAATAAAATAAATTTTAAAAATTAAAAACTTTCATGTTTCAAAGGACACCATCAAGAAAATAAAAACCCACAGAATGAAACAAAATATTCGCAAATATGATGAAGAACTTATGGTTTAGGCTATATAAAGAACACGTACAACCAATAAGTAAAAAAACAAGTACCCAAATTTAAAAGTAGGTAAAGAATCTAAATAGACATTTCTCCAAAGAAGATACATAAATGGCCAATATCACATGTAAAGATATTTATCATTAGCAATCTGGAAAACATACAGAACTCACAATGAGATAACACTCCATACCCTCTAGGATGGCCTGAATCAAAGCGATAGACAATAACAAGTATTGACAAAGACTGGAGAAATTGGAACTCTTATACACTACTGGTGGGAGTGTAAAATGGTGCAGCTATTCTGGAAAACAGTTCGGAGGTTTCTCAAAATGTTAAACATGGAGTTACTATATGGCCCAACAATCCCACTTTTAGGTATAAACTCAAGAGAAATGAAAATGTATGTCTACACAAAAACTTGCAAATGTTCATAGAAGTATTATTCATAATAGCTAAAAAGTAGAAACAGCCATGGCTGGGTGGCTCACTTGGTTGGAGTGTTATCCCATACACCGAAAGGCTGTGGGTTCAATTCCTGATCAAGGCACATACTAGGTTGTGGGTTCAGTACCTAGTCGGGGCACATGTGGAAGGCAATTGATAGGTGTTTCTCTCTTACATCAATGTTACTCTCTCTCTCTCTCTCCCCCTTCCTCTATCTCTAAATTCAATAAACATATCCTTGGGTGAGGATTAAAAAAAAAAGTAGAAACAACCAAACTGTCCATCAACTGATGAATGAATAAACAAAATGCAGTCAATAAAAAAGTGTGAAGTACAGATACATGCTACAACATGAACAAAACCTTAACATATTATGTTAGGAAGCCAGGCACAAAAGGCCACAAATTATATGATTCCATCTATAAGTAATGTACATGATAGGCAAATTTATTAAGATAGATTGTAGATTAGTGGTTGCCTAGGGCTAGAGAGGTGGGGGGAGATTAAGGGGTGACCATTAATAGGTATGGAACTTCTTTTTGGGATCATGCAAATGTTCTAAAGTTGATTGTGGTGATAGTTGCACAACTCTGTAAAGCTACTAAAAACTACTGAATTGTACACTTTAAAATGGTAAATTGTATAGTATGTGAATTATTTCTTAAAACTTTTTAAAAAAGATTTTATTTATTTTTAGAGAGGGGAAGTGAGGGAGAAAGAGAGGGAGTGAAACACCAATGTGTGGTTGCCTCTTAAAGCAACGCCCTACTGGGGACCTGGCCCACAACCCAGGCATGTGCCCTGACTGGGAATTGAACCAGTGGCCCTTCAGTTCACAAGCTGGCATTCAATCCACTGAGCCACACTAGTCAGGGCTTAATAAAGCTGTTTTATATAGAGAGAATTATGATGAGGTGCTCCCCACCCCACTGAGCATGTGCAGGACTCTCTTGGGATTGTACTTGCAGAGACATGACCTTATTGGGGCCATGTCAGGACAGCTGAATTCTGTGGGTTAAAGGAAGCAAAGATCCCTAACCTTCCAGCTCATTGTTAAAAGTTCGAGGTTATCTGTTCATAAATGAATTGTCTATTTTACTTCAAGATGAATTAGTTTATCAACACTACAGAAAAGTAGAAAGCCATGCTTGCTTCAGCAGCACATATACTAAAATTGGAATGCTACAGAGAAGATTAGCAATGCCCCTGCACAAGGATGACACACAAATACATGTAGCATTCCTTATTTTTAATAGCATAACCAATAATATATATATAAAGTAGCCATCAAACATACAAACCATCTGTACCAGATTTTAAAATAAGCAATACTCTTACAAAAAAAATTAAAGAGTGATTAGTAGTGTATAAAATTTTACCTAAGAACCATAAAACAATATTGAATTCTAGGTAAAAATTATGCATGCTGAAGTGACTTATTCTTATGCAGTATCAGTAACTTATTCTGAATGTATCAAAAATAAGATGGACTGATAGAGGGATAGATGAACATGTGATAAAACAAATACAGCAAAATGTTTATTGTAGAATCTAGATGGTGGGTGTATAATGCTCACTATACAATTCATTCAACCTTTCCGAATGTTTCAAAATTTGCATTAAAGTGTTACTGGGGGAAAGAGTATTAAAGTAAGAGGTGGTTGCTAAAGAGAGGAAAAGACTATTTCTCCAATAAAATCCCAAATCTCCTATGTTGACAGCGAAGGAAGGAAAATAAATGCATGCAACAAAGAGGATGGCGTTCCTTTATAATAAACCTGGTCTCAATATTCAGATATAAAGAAGAGCAATTACATATACCACAGTTGCAGCTGGAAAAGTTAAAGGGTACATGAAGAGAGATATTACAAATTGAAAAATGGATTCATGACTCACAGAAGCAGAGCTGGAAAAGCCAATCTAATGAGCTAATCTAGGCTTTGGAGTCCTAGCCCTTCTAAATATGGGTAAGACTGAATATGACAAGTTGAGAGTAACTAAGGGACGTACCTAGACCAGAAAACATAAATATGCAAGAACTCTGGATTTTTGCTCTCTGTTCTCCTTAAAGGTGACAAGCTGGTTGAGATCTCAGTGAAATGTGCTTTGAGTGTGATTTTGGATGCTGAAGAAAACCTGCTCCTCGAAGGTGAGCCACAGTTTTGGTCTTAGTTCCTCTTTTCTTATTAAGGATAAAGTAATGACAAGAAGTTCTTGGCTTAAGAGTTTGCCTCCTTACACATACATGTCCCATCCATGCGAGGGGTCTCAAGAGGTCCCTGCTGTAGTGAGGGTAGGGATTAAGGATATGGCTGTTCTTTCCAGAGTTTTCTTCCCCAAGACTGCTCAGAGGCTGGTTAGTGCATAACTACCCCAGCCTGCGGAGAGCCTTTAACCACTGGCAAGTTTGGAGACCTGTAGCAGGAATTGCACTAGGTCTAGTATAGGCATCCCCATCCCATCCGAAAGAGCACCATCTCTGTTTCACAGATCCCTCTCCCCAAAATCAATTTCTAAAGCTATAACCACCCCATGCTCTAAAAACAGGGCCTCAACTTCTCAGAGCCAAGTTCCCCAATGGTTCCCATCATGCCTCAGAGGTCTGCCTTCCAATCCTTCCGATTTGGATCCCTTCCTCCCCCAGTTACCCGCTCTTGCTCCACCTTGCCTCAGAGTCAACAGCCACAAATGCTGAGCTGTAAAGACCTTCACCCTGTCAAGAGGCACACCCCGACTCATCAGACCTGGAATCCCCCTAATCTTCAAAGCTAGAACACTTCACCCCTCGAAGTAGGAGCATTCTTCCAATTCCTCGGACCCAGCGCCCAGATCCTTCAAAGCTGGGGCCATATCCCCTTCTGTCCCAGAGCCAGTAACCTAACCCTATAGCCCTAATTCTCCACCACCTGGCCCCCCACCCCAATTCGCCGTGTTAGTGATTTTGGCGCCCCCACCAGGGCGGGCTCCATACCATGGTTCGGACTCCGGCGCCGGGCCGGGAGGCGCGTGACCCTGGCAATAACGGACCCCCGGTGCGCGGGAGGGGCGGGGCCGGGGGAAGGGCCTGACGGCGTGGGGCGGGGCCTGGCTCGCGCTGGGCGGTCTCAGGGATCGCGACAGGTGAGCCGAGTGGAGCCGAGCGGCGCGGCGCGGCGCGGCGCCGCGCGGAGGGTGGGCAGGGATGGCGGAGCAGTGGGATCTGGACGAGGAGGTCATCCGCCGCCTGGGGGCGCTGACTCTGGAGAAAGCCGGTAGGGCTAGGCCGGGAGCCTAGGGTGTGAGGCTGAGGGAAGGAAACTGAGGCTGAGGCAGGGGAACCTGAGGTAGACACTTAGGGAAACGGTGGTGGAGGAGAGGTCCCTGAGGTGGAAGAGGGGTTATTGAGGCAGGAATGGTTACACTCAGGTGCAGGTGAAAGAACTGAAGAAACTGGGGAGCCTGGGGCGGAGGGCGAGAAATTGAGCAGAGAAACAAGATTAATTGGACACTGCGGCCGGAACGCAGATCTAGACAGTGTCTGAACTGAGCCCCAAGAGAGGGTTGTTGGCGGGAAGAGAAAGACGCTAAGAAGGGTGTTTGAAGTCAAGGTGCTATTGAGGCACGAAGGACATTCATTTTGGCAGTTCCTGAAACTTCTGACCCACTGGGACGGGTTGGGGTGAAATGTTCTTCGTCCAGCCTCCACCTCAAGAATTTGGCCATTTCCCTGATCAGTCTGGATGTGTAACCTCCTTTTAAGAGAGACTCAGAAAGGGAACGGATGTGGGGGCAATAGCATCTGATCTCTCAAGGCACTTAGGTCGAACTGGCTGAGGGGTTCCTGACCCAACCTTTGACCTGGAGTCTGACTCAGACAGCTTGCTTTCTGAGTTTCTAAGGAGTAGAAATGCTGGGAAAGTTATTAGTGTTCCTAATTCAACTTTTACCCTTCCTAAAGTCACTATGTCGTTAATGCCAGGCCCTGTGCTAAGTGCTTTCCTTGCGTTATTTAATGCCCCCCTCAAAAGCCTATGAGTCAGATGCTGTTATTGCTCCCATTTTACAGGTGAGTAAAATTACGTTTAGACTTGCCCAAAGTCACGGAGCCCAAAGTAATGTAGCCAGGGTTTATTAACCCAGGACTCTGATCCCAGAACCTGTGCTCTAATCATAACAGAAAGTTACCCTTCTTGCTTCTAATACTTTTTATTTGCGGGATATGAATAACTTGGTTTTATTTTATTTAAACATTATTATTTAAAATTTATCAAAATTAGTGCATGTTAGTGACAGTCAAACATTACATGTGTGAATAAAGAGGATATTAACCTTCCTTTCTCTTGAAACCTTCCCTCACCCCCCTTCCAAAGATAATGGTTTGTTGTACAGATAAATAGATTGATGTCTATATCTCAAGTTTATTATTTTTTCTTTTCCAAATTACTTTGAACTTCCCTATGTTTATAAGTTACCTAAGAAAAGCTTTTTTGGCTTACACAGTTTTGAAACTTTGTTTCCTTTAAAAAGTGTATATTGATTCAATTTGATTTGATAAGGGGTTGGGGTAGGTGAGTAGGGTAGAAGGTGGCCCTTCCATTCTCCACCATTCTCCAGCCAGAACAATATGTGGCAGATTTTTTTTTGCTTGTTTTCGTTTGCTTTCTTGTTTTTATAACAGGCATTTGACAAAATTATGCTCATTCTGACAATTCCAACAATACTGATGTAATAGGCTCCTGTATTTTTTTTTAATAAAAGCTATGGAGCTTTGTTATTCACATTAAGTCTAATCTATGAGGAGTTTATTTTTATATATGTATAATATGATATAATTGTATCATTTTATGCTGATAGCCAGTTTCTCCAGAATTTGTGTATTTGTTAATGGTATCTCTGCTATATACCAAGTTCCTTGATAAACTTAACATCAGGTTTTGGTAACTGGTAAAGTCATCAATTTATCTCCCTTTACTTTTCTCCATTTATCACTTCTTCATCCTTCAAAATTGTCTAGGCTATTCTTGGCCCTTTATTTTCTCCTGACAATTATAGAATCAACTTGTCAATTTCCACAAAAAGCATTTAGGCTGATCTAATACTCATTTAAAAAATATTACTCTTACTCATTAGAAGCCTATTGCAGTAGTCCAGATAAGAGGTAATGAATGGCTTGTACTAAGAGGATAACTGTGGAGATATAATGAAGTTCATGGAGAAGTCAAGGTGTATTTTATGAGCAGACAGGATGGGAACTGCAAAGAAATTGAATGTTGGAAATGAGGAAAAGGAAAATTCAAAGATAACACTTATTCTTAACTTAAGATATTGCTGGGTGGTTAGTGGTGGTATTTACTGAAGGCAAGACAGAACGAAGACTATGAGAAAGATAGGTTTGGGGAAAGGGAATCAAGAGAGCTGTTGTGAGCATGGTAAGATATCTATTAGGCATTCAAATGTGAGATTTGTTTTTCAGCAGTGGGATACATGAGTTTGGGTCTCAGAGGAGAGGTCAGGGTTAGATATACATTTTGGAGACATTAGCAAATAGGTCATATTAAAGCCTCAGGAACAGTATAAACTTGCCTAACTAGAAAATGTGGATGGAGAATAGGAGACGCTAAGACTCAGTCTTGGGTCTTATTTCAATGTTTACAGGTTAAATAGAGGAGTAGGAATGTGATGGAGTTTAAGAGAGGGTAGTGTATCAGGGAAGTAATGGTCACCTGTGCCAAATGCTATTAACAAGCTGAACAAATTAAATGCAGAGAAGTGTCTGTTAGATTTGTAACATGGAGCTCATGGGGGATTTTCACTAGGGGTGTTTGGGGAGAGAGGGGAGGAGGGAAGCCAGGCTGGAGTAGGACAAAAAGGGAATGATGTATGAAGGAGAAGAGATAGTGAAGGCAAGAAACTGCTGAGAAATTTGGCTATAAGGAGAATACAGAAGTAGAATGTTAGCTGGAGGATATGATGTGGAATCAAGAACAAAAGTTTTAAAGAGTCTATATACATGAATATATTTGTAGGCTGATGACAATTATTTGGCAGGGAAAATATGTAATTATATATATATTTGCTTTTTAAAATAATTTAATTAAATTAATATATGAGTACTATAATAATTGCACAGTAGAAGTAAATCTTGACCCCCTCCTTCTTGGCCTTGACCCAGTTCTCCCTCCTAAAGGCAAAATCACTGTTACCAGTATCTTGGATAACTTTGAGAAATATTTTCTACATATATAAGTATACATCACTTATTTTATTATAGCAATTCACAAATATATGCAAGAGTAGAGATAACAGAATAATGAGCTTCCATCACCCTACCTAAACCGTTATCATTAATTCATGGCCCATCTTTCATTATACCTCACCTAGTCTCTACCCGCCTCCAACCCTCTGCACTATTTATTTTGAATCAAATCCCAGATATATGATTTAACCCATAAATATTTAGTATATAGCTTCAAAATATAACTTTTTAGAAAAAATCACATAGAAAACCTAAAAATACTTAAGAGTAATTTCTTAGTATCATCAAATATCCAACCAGTTTTCTCAACTGTCCTACAAATTTTTTTTTGAAATCAGAATGTATAAGGTCTATTGCAATTGGTTGGCATTTGTCTTAAATAATATTTGATCTATAGGTTTCCCCTTCTTTTTCCCTTGCATTTTCTATTGTTTTTGAAGAAACTAGGCGATTTGTTTTGAGTAATTTTATAATCCTGATTTTTCTTATGATATTTCTAAGATATTTAACATCTTCCTCTTTCTTTTCTATTTTTCATTGAATTTATCGGGGCAACATTGGTTAATAAAATTTTATTATTTAAGTTTCAGGTGTGCAATTCTATAATCCATCATCTGTATATTGTATTGTGTGTTCACCACTTGAGGTGAAGTTTTCCTCCGTCACCATTTGTGCCCCTTATGCCCTCTTCTGTCTTCTCCCACCCCCTTTCTGGTAATCACCATACTGTTGTCTGTGTCTATGAGTTTTTTGGGTTTTGTCGTCGTTTTTGCTTAATCCCTTTACCTTTTTCTCAGCCCTGCAAACCACCTCCCCTCTGACAGCTGTCAGTTCTCTATCTGTGAGTCTGTTTCTATTTGTTAGTTTATTTTGTTCATTAGATTCCATATATGAGTGAAATCATATGGTACTTGTCTTTCTCTGACTGGTTTATGTCACTTAGCATAATGCTCTCCAGGTCCACCCATGCCGTCCCAAAGGGTAAGATTTCCTTTTTTATGTCCAAGTAGTATTCCATTGCGTAAATGTACCACAGCTTTTTTATCCACTCATCTACTGGTGGATACTTGGGCTGCTTCCAAATCTTGGCTATTGTAAATAATGCTGAGGTGAATATATTCTTTCACATTAATGTTCCAGGTTTCTTCGGATATATTCCCTGAAGTGGAATCTCTGGGTCATAAGGCAGTTGCATTTTTAATTCTTCATGTAACTCCATACTGCTTTCCATAGTGGCTGCACCAGTGTGCATTCCCACCAACAGTGCATGAGGGTTCCCTTTTCTCCACATCCTCAGCAACACTATTGCTTGTTGACTTATTGATGAATAGCCATTCTGAGAGGTGTGAGGTGATATCTCATTGTGGTTTTAATTTGCACTTCTCTGATGATTAGTAACATTGAGCATCTTTTCATGTGCTTATTGGCCATCCCTATGTCCTCTTTGAAGAAGTGTCTATTCAGGTCCTTTGTCCACTTTTAAATCGAGGTGTTTTTTTTTTGGTGTTGAGTTTTATAAATTCTTTTTGGATTTTGGATATTAACCCCTTATCAGATGTATCATTGGTAAATAGGTTCTCCCATTCAGTGGGTCGTCTTTTCATTTTGTCAATGGTTTCCTTTGCTATGCAATAACTTTTTATTTTTTTATTTTTTAAATTTTTAGTTATTGATTTTAGAGAGAGGAAGGGAGAGAGAGAAACAGAAACATCGATTTTGTTGTTCCACTTATTTATGCATTCATTGGTTGATACCTGTATGTCCCCTGACATGTCTCTAACCCACAACCTTGGCATACCAGGACAACGCTCTAACCAACTGAGTTACCCAGCTAGGGCCACAAAAATTTTTTAGTTTGATGTACTCCCATTTGCTTATTTTTTCTTTGGTTTCCCTTGCCTGAGGCAAGATATCAGAAAAAATATTGCTATGAGAAATGTCTGAGATTTTACTGCTTATGTTTACTTTTAAGATTTTTATGGTTCTGAATCTAACATTAAATCTTTAATCCATTTT